GACCAAATCCTCCTTCATCCGATCTCCCTCCTGATCCCTCTGTTCCTGTTCCTGCCTCTCGCCCTGCTGCTCCTGCGTCTCCTGGGGCTCCAGCTCCTCGTCATCACACTGTCTTCATCGGTGTCTGCAATTGCTTCACCCTTACGTTCCTCATGGCTCTGCTCCTGTTCCCGTTCCTCCTGATCCTGCCAATTATGGAGCCCTCCTCTTTCTCATGTTCCCCATGCTCATCCACGGCCTCGTCCCTCGTGCAGCCTCGGTTCTCCTTCTGTTTGCCTTACGCTCCTCCTCATCGTTCCTCTTGTCCTCGTCCTCAGTCTCAGCCCTCACTAGTCCTTCATCTTGCTCGTCCAGATGATCCGTCCTCATCATCATCCCCCTTCCTCTTGATCCGTCCTCTCCCTTTTCACTTCCCCTATCCCTCTTCCGCCACACTGATCTCGCCCTCTCCAAGGCTGGACCTCAGGAAGGATGGTAGGAGAGAGTGAAGGGAGTGCACGGCGAGGAAAGCAGCACAGGGATGTACGGTCGGGGGAGAGGCAAGGGGAGAGGCAGGAGGGGAGCGCACCATGTCGGACAGTGTCACCGTCTGGACCCCTGCGCCACTGGTGCTCAGCGGACCCGCCTCGCACGGCGGGAGGCGCCGCATGCTAGACGGGGGTGGTGGGACGACCGCCCTTCTGGCGCGGTTGAATGGGCCCCTGGCTGGAAAACAGAGACGGTCGGCGCTGATCAGACCCCACGAGGCGCGGGCTTTCAGTGTGGGTTGGCATGTGCGCCTCGGCGCCCTGCGAAGAGAGGCGCCGCCTCGGGGCATCCCCCGCAGCGGCCCTGACGAGGCAGACAACGTAACGGGTGCCAAATGATCTCGCGGCCCGCGTGGAAGGAGGCTGGCACTGGTGCCATGACCGTTGGGGGTGGAAGAGGGTCTGGAGAGAACCTTGGAGTGTGGTCCCCCTGGTGGCGTGAGGGCGGAACGCCCGTTGTGTTAGAACCAAGGCCTCCTGTGCACGATGGAACCTCCCTATCAGTGTTCCTGTGAATGCTGAAGGAAGGTAAGCAGCTGGTTGGGGCGCTGGCTAGGTGCCTGAATGCTGGCACTGAGAGCGGTCTCGCAGGGCTCGTCTCGCTGGTGACTGGTCGCAGTGAGATACCGGATGAGGGCGTTCATGTGGTTGGTGCGATGCTAAGCACGGTTCGCCTCGGCGATTCGGTTTCCAGCGCTCTGTTGTGTGGTATTAGGGCCGTTGGTCCCCGCTCCCTGGTGGGGCGGTGAGCGGTGCCTGGTGGCAGGAAGCGCTGCGTTGGAATGGTGAGTGCGCAGTAGCACTTGCCAGCCCAGCGTGATGGGGCGGCGGCGCTGGCCCATTGGGCGCAGTCCGCAACCCATCACCTACCATGCGTAAGGCCTCTCCCTGGCGGGGTGCGGTGGCACCACTTCCTTCGGTGTGTCCTTCGGCCGCGTGGACGTTTCCAGAGTGACTTTTCTGTGGTGGTCGAACGCAGTCGTTTTCGCCTTTGAGGTGGGCCCCAAGACCAAGGGGGTCAAGATCGTCAGCGGCGAAATCGTCCGCCTGCTGGAGCCAGTGGTCGTCGATATCATTGAAAACATCGGGACTTGGTGGTTCCGCCGCGGGAGGTGGTCCTCTGGTGCCTTGTCCTACAAAGCCGGTGGTGAGCTGGCTGACTTCCATTTTGGAGAGCTCCGCCCGGGGAGGTCCTGCACGGCTGTGGGGAAGAGGGAGCGTAGGGTATCTTTGATCGTAGATGGCGACGGTGTTAGTAAGACCGCGGCGCACTTGTGGCGCCATGTGGCGGCGTCGGCGGCAGCTTGTGGGATGCTGTGCAGCCTTGCCCCCTCTGGCGAATCCGTCAGCATGTCGGTTGACAGCTTCAGCGATGGGCGCCGCTCGGCCGTCTTGAATACCTTGCTCTCCAAGGTGGCTTTCGATCTTCTGTATGAAAAAACGGGCTTGGGTTCGAAGCACCCGATGGGTTATATGCCAGGGGTCCGATTGCGGTCCGACGCGGTGAGGCGGGTTACCCCGGAGGAGGTCTTCGAACCCGTCCACTACAGCTTGGTTGTCCACGAAGACGTGTATGGGCCGTTCGGCAGTGGCCACGAGGTGCAGCATGGCGAGAGTTTCAGCACGTTGCGCGGACTGTGCGAGGCTGTGCATTCGAACGGAGTGGTTGTGCCGGTGGTCCGGCTTGTAGTTTACCCCCACGCCCGCCCTGGCCAAGGAGGGGCGGGCTTGGTTAGAGCATGCGGCGTCGGTGGCGGCGTAGGCTTATCGGGCGCCGTATTCTACTGTGCATTCTTAGTCGTGGTCGTCGTCTGCGTTCTCCTGGGCCTGCCTGGGGATGGGCTCTGGGAGCTCGTCCTCTGCCAGGGTGGCCTGAAGGCCAAGCAGGGTGGGATCCGATCCGAGGAGGCCACAGTGTCTGGTGTGAGGTGGGAGTTCCTGTCATTGTTGTTCGGTAGTCATGGTCGTGAGGGCCGTCCTCTGGTTAGCCCAGCAGCGGTATCTCCAGACGGTGTGCTCCTGGGCTTCTTCTTCTTCTTCTTCTTCTTGATCGCACCAGGAGAGGCAAGGGGAGGTCGAAGAGATTGAAACGGCGGCGGGGAGGGAGAGGCAAAGGGATTGGGAGGGGGAGAGGCGAGGGGAGTTCGTGGAGGCGGGAGGAGGGAGGATTGTGGACCCTCCCTCGTCCCTCTTCGCGACGTCCCCCAGGATCAAGAGATTCAAGATCAAGTTGAGGCCTGCGCTGGCCCTAGCGGCTTAGCGCCGCCCTCGACCCCGCGCTCGGCCTAGTCGCCCCTCCGTCTCGCTCCCCGCCTCCTGCTGCAACCCCTCATCCTCCTCCTCCTCCCTCCTCCTCCTCCTCCTCCTCCTCCTCCTCCTCCTCCTCCTCCTCCTCCTCCTCCCCATCCCCCTCCCCCTCCTCCTCCTCCTCATCCTCCGCCTCCTCCTCCTCCTCCTCCTCCTCCTCCTCCTCCTCTGTTCCTTCTTCCTACCCCTCCTCTTCCTCCTCTTCCTATTCCGCTCCTTCCTGCTTGTCCTCTCCCCCACGTTCGACCATCCGCCTCGCCGTCGCCGCTTGCCCATCCCCCTCCCCATACTCATGCTCCCTCGCCCTCGCCCTCCTCGCCATCTCCATCCTTATCCTCGACATTTTCTTATTCCTTCTCGTCTTTATCCTCCTTCTTCTCCTCCTCCTCCTCCTCCTCCTCCTCCTCCTCCTCCCCCTCCTCCTCTTCATCCTCCTCTTCCTCCTCCTCCTCCTCATCCTCCTCCTCCTCCCTCCCTCCTCCTCCCTCCTCCTCCTCCTCCTCCTCCTCCTCCTCCCCATCCCCCTCCCCCTCCCCTCCTCCTCCTCCTCCTCCTCCTCCTCCTCCTCCTCCTCCTCCTCTGTTCCTTCTTCCTACCCCTCCTCTTCCTCCTCTTCCTATTCCGCTCCTTCCTGCTTGTCCTCTCCCCCACGTTCGACCATCCGCCTCGCCGTCGCCGCGTGCCCATCCCCCTCCCCATACTCATGCTCCTCGCCCTCGCCCTCCTCGCCATCTCCATCCTTATCCTCGACATTTTCTTATTCCTTCTCGTCCTTATCCTCCTTCGTCTCCTCCTCCTCCTCCGCCTCCTCCTCCTCCTCCTCCCCCCTCCTCCTCTTCATCCTCCTCTTCCTCCTCCTCCTCCTCTTCCTCCTCCTCCTCCTCCTCCTCCTCCTCCTCCTCCTCGTCCTCGTCCTCGCCCTCTTCCTCCTCGCCCGCTTCCTCCCGCCCGCCCTTCAGACACTGCAATAGCCCCCCGCCCCCCTTCCCATGCGGGCGATCGAGCCGCATCTCCGCGCGGCGGCGGCCCCCGCGCCTCGCGCGGCCTCTGGGCTCCTACGGCTCGGTCATTTGGCGCACCCCTCGCCGCCCTTGTGTGGCGTCTCGCCGCCACCGCCGCCGCCGCCGCTGCCGCCGCCGCCGTTGTGGTCGTCGTCGTCGTCGTCGTCGCTCTTCGTTGCCCTCCTCCTCGCCCTGCTGGGGATCCACTGCCCCGTCCTCGCGTTCGCCCTGGCGCTCCCAGGCAGCGCTGCCAAAGGCCCCGTTGGCGCAGCCCCTCCCCCCGGGAGCGACCGCGGTCCGTGATTGGGCCGAGCAGCGGTTGCTCCCGAGGGGGGGGGCATCCTCTCACAGCCAAGCTTCGCGCGGACGGACTTGCCGCTCTTCCCTCCGCCTCCTCCTCGCCGTGTGGCCCCCTGATCCTGGCTAAGATTATTCCGTTCTCCTCTGATGCAGCCTTGTTCTTTCCTCTGTAAGCCCCCCCCCAGGGCTAGCAGGTGCTGGCCTTTCCTTCCCTGCGGCGCGGAGCCGATCTTGGATAACAGAAGAGGCATAGGATGAAGCAAACCTCGAGCGCCTCCCCAGTAGAGCGAGGGCTCGTGTCACCGCGGCGGGGGCTTCTGGAGGACGGGCCAAGGGCAGTCGACCTTCTTGGTGCCGATGCCAAAAGGATACGCTTCCCCCCATTTCCCAGCGCAGCCTTTCCTCCCTCCCCCCTCGGTCGCACGCTCTCTGCGAGGCCGTCGTCTAGAAGTAAGACTCCTCCCCTCCCCCGCTCCGCCCATCCTCCTCCTCCTCCTCCGCCTCTTTCTGCTCCGCCTCGTGTTCCTGCTCGTCCTCGCGCGCCCGCCAGCCAGGGACAGGAGCCAGGACTTTATCGGACCCGAGAGTGTCTCTGGCCGTCCATTGCCTGGTTTCGAGGCAACTTGGCCAGGAGGACGAGGGACAGGATCGGGAGAAGGAGCCGCATGCAGGTTTGTTTGAGACTATCGTGAAGAGTTGGCTTAGGTTTTATCCGTCCGATGGTTCGTGTGTCTCTTTCCTTTGCCGCCCTCCTCGCCTCATTCATGTTCCTCCTCCCCCCGCGCATCCGTTTCACCATCCGGCGCAGCCCCCCCGCCCAGAATGGTCCGTCCTCAAGCGTGTTGGCGCTTCCAGGGCCCAAGCCATGGCCCCCCACCGCTCCCGCATCCGCAATGACCCAGCCGTCACGCGTCTCACGCGACCCAGGAGTCCCAGCGAGGGCCCGCGAGAGGAACGGACATGGTTGATGGGCAGGGAAAGGAAGCGAAGGAATAGACGGAGGGCGTCGCCATTCTCGCTGAGGTGGTGGAGTTCTGGAATGTGCACCATGTTAATTTCGGGCCGTTCATGGCCTACGACGCTGCGAGGTGCAGTACGCCGTCGTGCAAAGACGTCTGGCTTAGTTGTGCATCGCCATCCCCGCCGCTCCTTTCCCATACTTGCCCTTGTCTTCCCTCTCCCTCTCGTCCCCTCCTCCCTCCCTCCCTCCCTCCCTCCCTCCCTCCTCCTGCCTCTCATCCCCCCCTTCCTCTCCGCCCATGGCCTTGTCTCACTGCTGCCCGTCCCGCCCATGTCCACCTCATCCCTTTCCTTGCCCCAATGGGATTACTGGCCTGCGCGAGTGTGTGTGTGTGTGTGTGTGTGAATGTGTGTGTGTGTGTGCGCGTGTGGGTGCAGGAGGGAGGCGGGAAGGGTGATTACAGTTACGCTTAGTGAAGGCAGCATTGAACGCTAACGTCCACGTCGACATCCGTCGCATGTTGGCTCGAGGTTTCTGCTACGACCGCAGGGAACCGCCAGACCTGCGGCCACTTGTATACACCCCGTGCGTTGAATGTAGCAGCTGCTGGATGCGTCTTCTCTCTGTAGTGCGGAGCTAAGGTCAGTGACAGTTGTTGGCAGAGCGCGGGAATCTAGAACCGAACATGTTGGATTCATGCTTGTATTGCCACCAGCAGTGTGCAGTGGAGCTGGTGACGAACGGCCATTTTAGATGTTCAGGTTGGGCACCTTCCGATGGCCCGCCTAACGAATATCCTCAAGTAGTAGTTCGATGTCAGCTCAACTCGAGCACTCAAGCTCGACTCAAGTTCGACTCAAATCGGCGGTTGTTCGACGCATGAGTGAAGTGAGTGGTTCCAGGAAGATCCCCAGGACGAGCATCCACGCCATAAGCTCCGTCTCGACCAGGGTGGCCGCACCGATATGTGCATTGACCAGAGCACCTCGGCGGGAATGATCGAAGTGGGGCGTGCCAAGGTGTGCGTGTCTGATGCCTCGCGGCATTCAAGCTGGCTTTGGAGCAAACGGCCACACATTAAACCTATCACTTACCACGAACACGTGTGTATGTGTGTGTTGCGTGACGGGGCAACCAGTTCGAGTTTGACCTTGCACATTAGAGCGTATGTAGGAGCACGCGGGCCGAGTCTCAGGACAGCAGCTGTTTGACAAACAGCCATAGTAATCCAGTTCGGCATGTGGTGTCGCACGAAACTATCTCTGAATGTACTGTCACCACTGCCGCTATTGCTATTGTCACTGGTGACGCTGCGGCTTTCATTACCACTGCTGCTGCTACAATTCGGCGTGTGTTTTGTTGCCGGTGCCGCTACGGCCCCGAGCTAGTACGATTACGACGGGGGCGGGAAGTTGGTGATCGGGAGGAGGGGGTGAAGAGGACGAGGAGGTGGAGATGAAGATGGGGAGAGGGGAGGAGAGAGGAGAGGAAGGACGTCGAGAGAGGAGTGAGATGATGAGGACGAGGAAAGAGGCGAGGAAGGGGAAGAGGATGATGAGGGCGGGATGACGAGGATGAGAGGCTGAGGAGGATGGGGAGGGGAGGGACACGCCAATGGTGGACAGTTGCAGTACCAGTCCCGTCGCCGCCGTCTTCGCCCTCTCCATCACCCTCCCCGCCTCGTTATCCTCCTCCTCATCATCATCATCATACTCCTCCTGCTCCGCCTCCTCCTCCTCCTTATCCTTCTCCTCCTCCTCCTCCTCCTCCCGTCCTTCCTCTCTCTCTCTCTCTCTCTTCCTTTTTTTTGTTCTCTCTCTCTCTCTCTTCTTCTTCGAATCCCCATCCTTCTCCTCTGCCTCCTGCTCCTCGTTCTCGTCTCTCTGCGGCACCCCGTCCCCATCCTCGTCCCCGTCCCCTGAGGTGTTCTTTCTCGCCTTCGTGTCGCCGTCCTCGTCGTTGGCGTTCGTCCCGGCTCGGCGCCGTTTCTGTGTCCGAGGTCTACGCCCTCTACGGCTACATTCTCGGGTGCCAGCCCGTGACGCCAGGGAGGCTTCCTCACGGGTGAAGTGGGGGAAGGGAGTAGAGGTGGAGGAAGATCATTGTCCAAATTGCCAGGTCTGTGAGCGGCCGCCGTGGGACAGTTTTTCCAGCGAGTCATGGATACGCCGAAGCATTGCCAAAGGGGTACGCCCATTGCTTGGGGCGCATCCCAACTCGCATGCGAGGTGGAGGAGGAGGAGGAGGAGGAGGAGCAGGAGGAGGGGGATGAGGGGGAAGAGGAGGAGGAGAACGAGGTGGGGGAGGAGGGGAAGGGGGAGGGTGAGGACGTTGTAGACAAGGTGGGGAAGGGGAATACCAAGAATTTTGCTGAGAAGAGGGCGCTGCTGGCTCATGGGGCCCAGGGTATTTTTCAACAGAGTGCGGTTGGGGTATCGAGACCCTTCCCACAAGGAATACAGTGCGGGGGCCTCGCCAGGAAAGTATCCTCAGCTGCGCCAGCAGGGTTGTCCCCTCCTTGGCCATGCGACACAACTGCTGGGATGCATCAGGCGGCACCAGAGCGCCGTGCCCTCCTCGCAGATCAGGCCAGGGACCGAACCTTGGCGCGCTCTTAGGGGCCTCTTGGGCCTTCGTGGGCCACTCATGGGTCTTTCTTTGGGCTGTCTTCGGCAATCTTGGAATCCTCTTGAGGCCTCGGAAGCCCACCAGACGCGAAAAGGCAAGAAGGTCAAACTTGTAGACGAATTGTCGGTTGTTTAAGGAGTTGGGGCTCTGGGGCATCCTTGGGATGTTCTGGGGCCTCTTGGAGCCTTCTTGGAGCCGTTTTGGGGCCTCCTGGAAGCATGCTGGAAGATCTTTGAGGCCTTCTTGGGCTCTCCTGGGGCATTTTGGAATCATGCCATATCATGAGGGCCTGAAGGGTCGTTGGGGGGCCGGGACCTTTCCCCAAGCGCGATTTTAGTCGCCGGGGGAAAGGGGGAGTGCGACAGGCAGTCGCCGACAGCCAGCGTCTCACACGCCTTCTCACCCACAGCAAGCGAGGGCTGGGGGATTGGGAAGCATGAAAGGCACTTCTCCGATGATCTATTGACCGCACCCGCCTGCAAGGGGGTAAACGACATACAGTACTACTGGCAGCATAGTGCTCAGTACGCCGCTAGACTGTCCAGCGGCGCAGTCTATGTCTAGTCCAGCCCAGGCATCAGACGAACCCGTCTGGTCTAGACATCAGATCCGTTGCCCGACATAGGCGCTAAGTTGGCATCCTTCCTCTACTCTAAAGCTGTTCGAGTGGCGCAGGGACCTCTTCTACTAGCTCAGAGACCGAATCTGGCAGTTCCAGCTCGATGTCGCAGAAGAGGCCGATCGCAGTCGGTGTTGTTCCTACGGGGTGCACTGACACGGGGGCCTGCGAACTGGACAGACCTGCGACAGACGAAGAATACGCGCTGGGGACTCGGGAAGGTGCTCAGGGATCCCAGAACTAGCCAGCAGACCCATCCTCGAGGTGGTGGAGACCTATAGCAATTCGCACGCGTGGGCGTTTTGCTTGGCGTCCGCCGCCCGTTGCTGCAGCCACCTGCGACCGCTGGTGCCTGAGCAGCGCGCAGCCCGCTTGGACTCGGTGGATCGAGTCGCCCAGCTCTCCCCATACAGCATCTGTTCGATTTGGAACACCTTATGATGTGCTCGAGCCGAGCACGCCGACGCGCACCCATTTCAGGCCCATGCTGATGCGATTTGGCGAGCTTGCACTGCAGTATGTTGGTCTGGTCGTCAATGCGTCGGCCTTTCGAATGCTCTACTCCCTGAATAAATCTTCTCCTCCCTCCTCAAATAATATTATCCCCCCAAGGTAAAAGATACCTGAATGTACTCTTCACCAGTCTCGCCTTCGCCCTCCTGGCGAGGGTGGGGGGGAGGGGATGGCCGTTGCCGAGCAGACCTGCCGTACCGCGCCGCTCCCCTGACGGAGGTCGGGCTACGAGGCGATGGAGGACACGATGAGCAAGAAGGCGGCTGCGTTCCCTGCTCGAGCCGAGGTGGGGAGGACGAGGAAGGGAGAGGCGGAATGATTCGAAGGGGGGGGAGGGGCGGGGGCACGGATGAAGGGGAAAGAAGGGAGCAGGATGGAAGGGGAAGGAGGGACGAGGCGGGGGGAGGCGCGGGAGGAGGTTGGAGCGAGGAGCGGCGTGGGGCGCGACGGCGAGAGAGGAGAGAGAGGGAGAGGGGGGATGGAGGCGGGAGGAGTCGGGGAAGGGCGGGAGAAGAGGTGTGCAACGAGCGGGGATGGAGATGGGAGGGGGAGGTAGGATAAGGGAGCGAGGACGGATCCCAGAAGACACAAGACCGAGACACTGGAGGAGGCATGAGGAATGAGGGAGGAGAGGGAGGATACCAAGGAGGATGAGTCGGAGCAGGTGTGCTACATCTCATGGAAGCGTTCATCCTCTCCAAGATAGGCCTGGGTGGTTGGCTAGGAGTGTTGTCCGGTATTGGCAGCAGGGTTGGTTGGGGTTGGCCGGAAGAGAACGCCGAGGAGGAGTGGAAGGAGGACGAGGAGAACAGGAGCATGAAGAGGAAGAGGAGGAGGACGAACATAACAACGTGAGGAAAAGGTTGGTACGGAGGGATAGAAGTGGAGTCGTGTGGGGACGATTGTCATTGATGGTACGGATGAGAAAGTACGGATGATAGGATATGTATGGAACGGATTGTACGGATGAAGGTGAATAGGGTAAGGTAATGGAGGGTATCGGGATGGTGGGAGGGAGGACGGATGGACGAGAGACTGGGAGGGGGAAAGGGAAATGAGAAATGGATAGGGAAGGGTAGAGGGAGAAGGGGTAATCATCGGGATGTGAAGGAGGAGGAGGAGGAGGAGGAGGAGGAGACGGGACACAGCAAGTCCAGGATGCAGCAGCGATCCTTTGATGCGCCCTCCTTTACAAACCTCCCCCCCATAGGCGCATGCGCTGTGCTTTGACACTACGGGCAGCGCCTCCTACACCATGCGAGTGCCGTATGGGCCCGCCATTCAGGCAAAAGCTCCGTTTTGGAAAAGGATCCGCCTGCCACCCGTATGGTTACACGACATTCCAAGAGTATGGCGATAAAGTCGAAGAGCCTTAGTTTGAAAAGTGGCTGCCCTGAGTCAGTACAAGTGCTGCGCATGTGCAAGCGTCAGGGCATGGCAGCCAGTCAAGTCTCAAGCGCTAGCTTGAAGAGGAACTACCCTTCGTTTATGCTGAATGTGCGCATCGATCAGGCGAATGACACATGATGAAAGAGGGCCGCCATCTGTGTAAATGCTGTAAACTTGAAGACGGATGTGCACAGCGCTAAGGTGACCGCTAGGATGTCGCAGTCGTGTAATCAATGAATGAATGAGCTGTTCTGTTTCGGTGTCATATTTGACGGGGGAGCTCCCGGCTTAAAACCCGGCCCGCCCCACCAACAAGTCAGGTGGATTGACGAGGGGATTCACCTACAAGGGAGGCAGAAAAGGAGGAGGAAAGACGAGGACGAGGGCAAGGAGTTGCCGCATCAGTGAACTGTCGCGACGCAGAAGAGGACGTCCCCCCCACCCGCCCCCGCCCGCCAGCAGTCCACACCCCGCCCAGCGGCGGCCAGACAGCGGAGCGAGTCAGCGTCACGGAGGGCTGTCGCTCGGGATACGACAGAGGTTGTACAGGTTCTGTCTCTCCCTTCCGCGGTAGCGCTCTCTCTCTCTCTCTCTTTGTTGTTGTTCTTGTTGTTGTTGGTGGTGGTGGTGGTGGTGGTGGTGGTGGTGGTGGTGTTGCTGTTGTTGGTGTTGTTGTTGTTGGTGTTGTTGTTGTTGTGGTGGTGGTGGCGGTTGTTGTTGTTGATGTTGTTGTTGCTGGTGTTCTCTCTCTCTCTATATATATATATATATTATTTGTCTGCAGCTATGTATAATATACAGATATGTACATACAATGTGTGTATGCGTATGCGAGCCCCGTTCTCTAAATGGTTTGTCATCTCTCTTTCTCTCTCTCTCTCTCTTTCGCTCTTTCTCTTTCTGTCCCTCCCCTATCACGTTTTTCGGGCACGCTCGCAACGTGTGAGGCTGATTTGGAGGAGGAGGAGAAAGAGGAGGAGGAAGAGGAGGAGGAGGAGGAGGAGGAGGAGGAGGAGGAAGGGCCGATTGACGTTTCGGAGAAGCGATGGTGGGAGGGGCAATGCTGCGATCACGAAGAGGAAGAGGACGAGGAGGAGGAGGACGAGGTGTTTGTGGAGGACGGCGAGGAGGAGGAGGAAAAGGAGCAGGAAAGACTTGAACTTTCGAGGACGAGGAGGACGAGGTGAATGAATAAGAGGTTGTCAATGAGAATGAGGAGAGTGAATATTCGAAGAGGGAGAAGGGAAGGAACATCACAATGTACTGGGGAAGGAATAGCAGAAGGAGCATGAGCAGGCGATGGAGAGGGAGAGGGGGAGAGAAAGAGAGATAGAGAGAGAGAGAGAGATACAGAGAGAGGCAAGGATGATACTCAGTCCGATGAAGAGGATGCTATATATCTCCATCTATACATATATAGATATAGATTGAAGGATACATGTACTGATCACGACGTGACTGACGTGGGCGAAGACGAGGCTTTAGCAGGAGAGTGATGGGCCAACGGACATGGTTGTGGGAGAATGTAAAAGCGGAGGTGGAGGAGAATGAGGAAGACGAGGATCAGGCGAAGCACGGTGAGCTGGATGAGAAGGGGGGGGGGAGAAGCAGGACGACGAGGAGAGGATGGCTCGGGCCTCCGCCAGGCATGCGCTCCCGCCGACATCAGCTGCAGATCACCGATGTGGTACTCGTTGCCGGGCCCCTGCCCGCTGAAGAAGATCAGCGCGGACACGGTAAAAGCCCAGACAAAGGACTTTCCCTTCTCTCATTGTTTCCTCCCCTCCTTGTCCGATTCTCTTCTCCTCCCATCCTTTCCCCCCTCCCCTCTCCTCCTCCTCTCCTTCCCTCCGTCCTTCCCAGTCCCATCCTGCCTCCCCTACCCTCGTGTCCCATGGCTGACCCACTTCCTCCGTGCGAGCTTTGGGCTCCGGCTGCGGCCTCTTGTTGCGGGGATCCGTTCGCAGGCCAGCAACTGCAGCAGTCGTTCTTCCTGCCCTCCTCTCTTTCACCGTCGGTCGTGCCGCTGCGGGCGTCCCGTCGGGCGTCTGCCGTACCGTCATCGCCGTCGCCGCCTCGGCCGCCGCCGCCGCCGTCGCCGTCGCCGCCTGTGGTTGTTTATTTCTTCTCTGCCTGATCCGCATGCCCCTTCATAGGAGATTTGATGTTACCCTCCCCTCTGGCGCGTGCAGTGGAGACCCATGGCAAAAATCAATGGATGTCTTAGGGGGTCCAGGGTTGGGTTTCTTGTGGAAGGTTTCTTGTGGTTGAGCCCCTACTGTATCGGTCATTACCCGCCCCGCCCCCCTTCCTCGCGCCCCCTTGGTGACGGTGACGATCGTGCGCAGGTAGGGTCCTGGACCCCCCAACCGCGTGCTGGTGCTCGCGCGCATGCCTCCTCCTCCTCCTCCTCCTCCTCCTCCACCTCCTCCTCCTCCTCCTCCTCCTCCTCCTCTTC